TCATATCGACAAATTTTTACAGCAATACCTCGCATAGTACGAGTAATCGAGGAACATATAAAAAAAATACAAAATTTTGTAGAACATTTTTTTTCAAAATTGATAGATTAATATAGCAATACCTCGCATAGTACGGGTAATCAATTTCGACAATATCCGGACTGCTTGTAACCGAACTAACCGAGGAACATACAAAGAAAATACAAGATTTTGTAGAACCTTTATTTCCATATTAATAGATTAGTACAGCAATACCTCGCATAGTACGGGTAATCAGTTTCGTCAAAATACAGACTGCTTGAAACAGACTAATTGAGGAACAAACAAAGAAAATACAAGATTTTGTAGCACATTTTTTTCCATATTGATAGATTTGAACAGCAATACCTCGCATAGGACGGGTAAACGAGGAACATATAAAGAAAATACAAAATTTTGTAAAACATTTTTTTCCGTATTGATAGATTAGTACAGCAAATAGCATAGTACGGGTAATCAGTTTCGACAATATCCGGACTGTTTGTAACCGCACTAATCGAGGAACATATGAAGAAAATACATGATTTTATTTTGATTGCGATTTAATCAAGAATTTTTATGATCTTTCTTCATATTTATTCCCACTTTTCTCAATTTGAAATATAAATTTTAAAAAATATTCGTAAATCGAGAACTGTCCTTAATATAACTAAAAATTAATAGAATGTAAGTTAAACAAAAGTTAAACTTTGTTGTATATCTCAAAATATTAACAATTTTTCATATTTATTCCCATTTTTCTCATTTGCAACACTTCATAAAGCGAGTCATGTAGGTGTCAATTTATATAAAAATTGTACGTTCATATGAACATCAAGTACGTTGGTGCGAACTAATACGATTAACGTACAATTAAAAAAAAGCTTATGTAAATATGTTTTGATGTTGATAATATACCGAAAAACAAGTAGGTTTTATTCATATTTTGAAAAATTTAATGAGCAAAAAGGAAATTACAAAAATTAAACAAAATTCCATAGATTTCATGCAAAAATATTTATAATTAAATTTACTAAACGTTATTTTGTATTGTTAATAAAAATCCAAAAGTAATTAACAATATATATTTAATGAAAAATATAATACAACAAAAAAAAATGATTCAAGACTTTCTACTTTCTAAGCGAACAATATGCAAAAAAAGAGTGTTATGTTGTACTTTTAGTGCGTTTGTAGAAGAGATTCACTTTGCGAATGCTTCTTTCAATTTCCAGATGGACGGAGAAAGAATACTGACCCATTAACATGCAGCAATTAAATAATAATCGCGTAGCGCAAATAATAAAATAAATGCGTGTTCGATCATCAAGAAACAAAACGAAAAGCGAGATTTCCATAGAGATTTCCATCGCTAAGGCCTTTCAAAAAAAAAAGAACCACTCATCATCTCGCAGTATATCTCCAACGTAATTGAATGGACGTTAGTGTTAAACCGCAACTATCGCAATTATTCAATGAAGAAAACCGAACGAAAACAATTTACTTTCTAGATTTACATAATAATCTTCCAGTTACTTTTCACATTCACAATAGTGTGAAGTGCAATGTTATTTTTTTGTTCGCTAATTTAATGTTATAGTTGACATGTGACATTTAAATGACAGATGTGAGCAATTGTTAACTGTCAATTCCATGCATCTGTCAATTAGATGTCAAGTTAAATCATATGTAGGTTATTTTAAAAAAGAAAAAATATAAATTTGTAAATACAAAAATAATCTAGTGACATAAATGACAATCAGGTGTACCAACTATTATACGTAAATGACAGCTAATCAAAGTCAATTCTATTTCGAAATGGTCAAATTGTATGATAATAGTTGTTGGTAAACCTAAAAGCGTATTTATTAAAATGACAGATAAAAAAATATTTGTTGATTCTTAAACAAAATTAAGTGAGAAACTTACTAAGAGAGACAGATAAATCATGTTATTATGGAACACTTTCTTTCTTCCCACTGTTCATAGTAAATAATGATATACAAAAAGAGATTTACTTAAATCTGTAGCACGTTTAACGTAATTTATTTGCGAAAGTGAAATATCAGGATCGTAAATGTACTTTCTACGAGATAATGTTTATTAAACACCACAGGATATTTCATAAAATGTTAAAACCGTAATAACAGCAAATGTTCATTTCATAAACTGTTCAAAATGTCAGCGAAATATTGCATGGCATAAAAAAAATGTTATTTTGTAAATTAGTTTCTTTCAATTATGTGATTATTTTAGAGCGACATTTCCGTTCTAATTTATTAAATAACGTATTTCTTTTTATAAACTATATTATTAAAATATTTAATTAAAAACGTTTTAATGATTTTTTTTTTATTAATTTATTATAATTTGCAAATTATTAAAAAAAATAATTCATTTTATTACAATTTTATTATTCAAGTTAAGAAAAACACAAATAAAACACCGAACTTCCTATTTCCTTTATATAATAATAGAAATCAAAGTGAAAATCTATCAAAGTTTATAAATTATTTCCATACAAATTATACAATCGATAATTGGCCTATAAATGGGACTAATTAGTTGAATTTGTTCAGAAAAAAGAATACGAACAAAACAAAACGCAGGAAACGGATATTTATGTTTCTATATATCCATATTTAATGCAGAGAAACGGAATCAAACATAATTATAATACTTAGAATAATAACAAAATAATTATGAAAAATTATAATTTACAATATTTATATTTTTTATTTTATAAATTATGTGAAAGTAGTAAATCTTGTTAGAAAATTTCTCAAATGAATATTTGGATTTCATAAGTCAATGTCAACGATATGTCAAAATAGAATGTCATAATTATGTAACACATGACGCTTTTGTTTTGACAAGACGTTATGTGTCATGTAATATGTGTCAAAAACAGGTAAATTTTTGTAACGTGTCATCAATTTTACTGTCAATAGATACATTGCTAAAAAGTCATAATTTTTAACGTTATTTTTTATTTTAGAATATTATAAAATTTCTCAAATGAATATTTTTAGATGTATTGGATTTCATAAGTCAACGATGTGTCAAAATAGAATGTCATAATTATGTAACACATGGCAAGACAAGACAATATATTGTTTTGACAAGACGTCATGTAACATATGTCAAAAACAGGTAAATTTTGTAACGTGTCATTAATTTTACATTTATTTCAGAAATTTTGACACAAAATTGTTGCAAGAAAGGCAGAATTCTTAACTACAATTATCGAAATTATGGAATTGTTATCAAGTAAATATAACAACTTTTTTTTCTTGATTTTACAAAAGTTAAGAGTTTTTTAAAATTAAATTCAATTAACGTGTTTATTTTTAGTATATGACTCATAAACACAGTAAATTGAATAGACCATTTGAGTCGACTAAGTCGAAATAAGACAATGGCACTAGAAAAAACAAACTTATTGTACGTTTCTTTCCAAGTCCGTTCCGTTAGACGTTGTAACATGATCATGAAAAGGGAAGTTCGTGGGCGATACTTTCTGAATTGTTTTAATTTCCATAGAAACAACGAATAAATTAGTACAGTTTTTTTTATATAGTTAATTTAAATTTTACATTTTGTTTGATAAATATTGAAGAAAACTTAAAAATTTCTTAATTTTTTTTTTCTAAAATTTGTCTCTCATTTCCCAACTACAAACAGATTAAAGAACATTTACAAACAAATATGTATTATTGACATATTTTGTCATATAAATCACAATTTCTTATAAATTTTAATGTGTTTTTTTTTCTTCATTTCTGTTTTTTTCTGTGTTTATAATAAGAGATGCGAAGGCTCTGGAATCAGTTCAAGGTAATCACATTACTTCCTTCGTTTATTTTAAATAATAAAAACAAAAGTGCACGTACAATAATAAAAACTGCGACAATGGAAATGTTAATAAATAAATTACACTTATATTCATTGCATGATACCAAGGATGTCTGATTTACATTAACTAATTTAACATATGTAAAGGATGTTCAATATCATTGTTAAATTATACTAGTGAATACGATCAATATATTTATTTTTAACAATTTTTTATCGCAAAAACACTTTTATTATTTTATCTTTATAACAGTGATTAAGATTACAAAATCTATAAATAGGTGATTCAATTTTATTCAAGGAAAACAAACATAAATTGTTAATGTTTCTCTTATATTTTAGATAATTATATGATACATCTTTTTTTATCTATTATTTATTTCAAATAACTCAAAAAATTTCCAATTAATAATTTTAAACTTAATACAAACTTAGTATAAAAATAATGCTTTTTTACAAAATATAATTTATACAAAATAATTATTTACAATCAAACATGTTTATATTAAGAAATTGTCTAAAAAAAAATATTTTCTAATAATTTATTTGATTTAGAAGGGGAAAAAATCGAAATAAATGATATAATTTCTAACTGCTTTTAATTTGGGCACATTTTTATGTATTAACTATAAAGCAATATATAAGTTTCGTCATTTACAGAATTGACAATATAAAATTTTAACAAAAATATGTGATTTTTACAACATTTCTTTGATTATTTTCCAAACATTATAAAGTTGTATATAATTTTAATGTATTTTTTATATATATAATTACATTAACATAAATAAACAAAACATAAATGAAAAGAATTATTAAAGGTAAATTATAAAAGAAGATTTAAAGAATAACAACTTGTTAGAATATAAGTGTTTTTTTATAACATAAATTTAAAAACGTTCATTCAATTTTCGATGAAAACGAGGTGGAGTACGTAAGGGTTGGATGGAGTGTTTGTGTCAACCCTGTACACAGTGATGATGTAAAGCCTTAACGAAGTGAATCGAAGTTAATTGATGGCCTAATTGGCCTTTATTAGTTTGCATATCATCCAATAACGATCTGCTGCCCGTTTCTGTACCATATCTTTTATTGTATTATTACATTTTTTTTCAGCGTAAACTTACCAGTTCATTGGCGACGAGAGAGTCTGTGATATACTGTATCCAGAGGAGAGGATTCAAAGCCGGAGACACATTTTGGTCATATCCACTCGCGATGTATACAACGAACACGACATACACAGATGTTCGGTGAGACCGTTTGATGGGGAGGGAAACTCGAAAGATATACGAACTTCTTCTATCTTCAGCACACTCACCGCATATGCATGTATACAGATAGATAGCGTGCGTATGTGCAAACCGCGGGTTTTGTTTATTATTTTTCCGACTTTTTGGGTGGGATGGAGAGGCGAGCGTGAATCGTGTGCGCGGTTCGTGGTCGTACGGCGTCTTCGAAATGAGCCTCGAGCCTGGTCGAACGGTCGACCCTTTCGCTCCAATCCGATTTCCGTTTGCGCAAACGCGACCATCTGTTCCCTCTTTCGACCATACCGCATCCACGGATCCTTCGGATGGATACGAATTTTTCGTTCGCTTCGTAGGTTTTGAACAGCTGCGTTCACCCCTCTATAAAGAATTGTCCTTTTGTAACGATGAATAAATAATAGCCCTTTCAGGGTGTACTTGCATCAAGTTAACCTTCATCTGTACATTTCAATTATAAGTATACAGGTTTACATGTTAACAACTATATACTAATAGTAAATTAAGTAAATCATAGCTTAGTAAACTTAGATAAAATAACAGTAGATTAGGAAAAATATATAATCAAATGGAATTGTAACGTAAATATATGTAAATACAATTTTATTTATCAAATAATTATCGAAGAAAAGGAGTAAATATAAAAAGTTATTTTTTTTAAATATTTTTAAATGCATAATATAATTGTAAATTTTGTCCTAACCGAAAAAGTTAAAAGTAAATATTTAAGATAAGATACATTAAAATGTTAATATAAAGTTGAGAATTATATATTTTTTGTATTGAAATCTATCTATATAATTTATTTGTAAAAGAAGTCAAGTATTTCTTTTGTATGTATCGAGAAGTGTACATTTTAAAGTAACTTACTGTTTACATTTTGTAAATGGTGGATGCGCCGGGCTTTAAAAACGTCAAACGTTTTATTTCTTAAAGAATTCTTTCATTAAATTTATTCAATTTATAATTATATTAGTATTAAAATATTAAACTATATATCTTATAGTTAATGAGTATATACGTTTTGAAAGTTAAGCAATTTTTGTATGCAAGTGAGTGACAACTTGAGACAAAACTAAATTTATGACTGAAATGGAAAAGTCTGAAATTAATATTGAATTAAAAATACACAAACCTGAAATACTTTGTAGTCTACGGTCATGGCAAAGTGTTTTTTTTTTGAAAGAATACATGTAATAAAACGAATTTACTAATAATGTTATGATAGGCAACCAAAGTTTCATATTTGAAAAAAGTTTTATTAAAGAAGCCTATACGAATGAATATGACGTTAGTCTTTTGCAAAACGTCTAAAAGTGTCATTATATGGTTTTCCGGTTATGAAGATGCAAATCTTTGAGTATATTATTGGATATATTGTGAGTATAAGTAATGTATTTATGTATAAATCTATGAGATTCTTAAAATCTACAATCTCAAAGGTAAGAGACAATCGTATTTGTTATATTGTTATAATTTCAAAAAAACGTTAAGTATATATCTGTAGTAAAATTGTAATGCTTCATCCACACTAAGCGCGCCATGAAACGGACTTATTTTACAGTTGTACCAACTCCTATTGACGTCAAAAGACAGTTTAACTGTAATTACTCAATGTGCTTTGTTTTGGTCGTCTGTGTCACAAATATGCGATACGAATGTGTTAAGTTAGAAATTAAGACCAAATAAATGCATTGGGGTTGAATAATCAACAATTGGTGGCAGAAATATGGACGTAATAATAATAAAGTATGATGTAGTTGGTAGGCTTGAAATGTCATGTGTTTAAGCCGGTGGCAATCGCAAGCCCGACAACCGAAATCCCGACATTCGAAATCCCGAGTGTATCAAATCCCGATGTTCGAAATCCCGACTACCATAATCCCGACAATCAAAATCCCGACTATATCGAAATCCCGACAATCTAAAACTTAATAAGATTAATAATTGTTGTTATTTATTGTTAATAACATAAACTAATTTTATTATAGAATATTTCTTATTCTTAAGTTTTATAATGAATGAGACAACGAAAAAAAAATACAATAATAATTAATATTATTTATTGTTATTAAGAATAAATAACAAGAATTAATAATCGGGCAAAAGAGCCATCGTCCTAAGTCTTAAAAATATTTTTTTCAGTATCCGTCGTACCTATTAAAATATAGTAGAATAATATAAAATGTTATTGTAGAAATTATAATAATAAAAGACTGTCGGAATTTTGATTGTCGGGATTTCGATATATTCGGGATTTCGATACAGTCTGGATTTTGTTTGTCGGGATTTCGATACACTCGGAATTTCGAATGTCGGGCTTTCAATAGACGGTCTTTCGGTTGTCGGGCTTGCGATATAGACCCTGATTACGCAGCATAGCTATACAAATAATTATAAACTTATTATAAATAAATAAGCTTTATTTCTTCTGTATTTTTCTTATATAAATCTCTATATAAATATTTAGTTTATCAGTCAACTATCGGTTTCCACTTTGATATCAGCAGCATCCATTAAGAATTTGGTATTATTAGTATCACTGGGTTCGAGGATCGTCCTGTCTGCGACGGAAACACCGCAGCCTTCCTCGTTGTCTCCTACAATTGCACAAAAATAATTGCATTAAATTATACCTACACTTATACCTCTCATTTCGAAAATCAACTTTTCAAACTCCCCAAGTCTTCCTCTTCTTCGTCGAGACCGTGTCTCTTCATAAATCGAACTGCCCATCCATAAGAGGCTTTAAATTCTTCAGTGCCCAGAAGAGATTCTTTGAGCTCCAGAGCTTTCAGTTTGATATCGATGCGCGGCACGCGAATACCCATTTGCCTCCTATCGACAACCCATTTCACCAATGCATTTTCCAGGTGCGGAAAACTCGGCGGATGACCGCGACTCGCTTTTTTCTTTCGAGGCAACACCTGTATCGCCTCTTTGTTTTTCCGCCAGAATCGAACGTTCGACTCGTTCACAGAAAAGTGGCGACTCGCATCCCGATTGCCGTTCGTCTCTGCATATTCTATTACCAGCAGCTTTTCCGCTGCTGTATAACATTTCCTCGAATTCTTTTCTGAGGCTTAAAATAACAAATTGTCAAACTAAATGCCGAAAATTCGTATACGTAAATCTAAACAAAAGGTTCACTTATGGTAACCTCGTTTTGTATAAGCAGTTGGCGAAATGCTTTTGTGTCACGGTTGCATTTGTTCAATTTTTTGGATTACATTCGAGTATAATACGCACCTCGATTTGGTGATATTACTTGAGTGAAACTTGTACGTATTATACCCAATTTTACGTGTATTTAACAAATTAATACCTGTAATCATGGAGTTGTCATTGAGGTGGTATTCATCATAATTGTACTCGATCTTAATGTCTTCATTACCCATCAGTTCTTCACTACAACTGTAATACTCATTACTTAATAAATAGATAAAGACAACGTGTAAAATACCTTGTATCAGTCGATTGGTTCAGGTTTGTTTCCGGTTTGAAAATATCCGAGTTAGAAATTTCCCGATTTTCAATTTCCTGGTCGACAATTTCCGTTTTGATTTTTTCCGAAAAGTCCTGATTTAAAATTTCCGTGTTTTGATTTTCTTTGTCATGCAGATCGAGAAGTCTGTGACGCGTCAGAATAGCTTGTATTTCGTTTTGCGCGTATATCGATCGTTTTGTGGATAAGTTTTTCAATTGAACGGCGATGCTTTGTCCGAAGAGTTGAAATTCGTCCTGAGGTGGATAATTCGCAGATTTCAACCTCGACGAAGGAGATAATTTGATTTGCTTCGAATTCGATTCATACATCTCATCAATTTCCTGCATCGATTGCTTAATGCTACCGTTTTCAGATCCTTCCGAATTTTCACCTTCAATGTGGACCTCCTCAGTATCATCCTGCAAAATACACACATCAGAATGTGTTCATAATAATTTAAACAGCTCTTCAGTTTCAGAACAATGTTTATTTATCAGATGTACCAACTATTAAAGGGTGTCCCAAAATGAACTGATATTTTATTTTTTTTAATAAAACACTGTCCACATTCATATCATTAATTTTAGACTATAAATAGTTTAAAAACATCTCACGAACCTTGTGATCGAACAAATGCAATTCTTTCGTCAAAATTCGTTGAAGAGAGCTTCTGGAAATACCTAATTGTTGACTGCGACGACGGATTGATGTTGAAGGATTTTTTTTAAGACTTTCACACACATTGGCTATGATTTCGTTAGAACGAGCAGTACGAGGACGGCCTATGCTTTTTATGTTTTCAACTGAACCGGTCGACTTAAATTTCTTGATCAAATTCACAACGGTGTTACGAGTAGGAGCATTACTATGACCAAACAAAGTGCGGCATTTGCGAACAGTTTCCGCAAAATGTTCACCAGTTTTTAAATGAATTTTTATAATTTCTTCGCGTTGTTCGACCGTGTACCTTTCCATAACTTAACCTCAACGTCTCTCAATGTTTACTAATGAAAGCATATACAAAACTCTATTTTAGTTTTTTCACGAAAAAAAAAATGGCGGCAAATTTAAAATGTCAGTTCGTTTTGGGACACCCTTTACATACACATTACAAATGCCATGTTGGGCTTTATTTTTAATTAAATTATTAACTGACATTTATTCATTATGTATAATGCGCACCAAGTATAATATTCAGTGGATTATTAGCTGCATTTACATATTCGTGGCTTAAATCAACATTGCCCGGTTGAAATAACTCGTACAGTCCCATTTCTTACCGAACCTTTTACTGAAGACAACTCTGGAGGTTGTTCAAGTACTGCAGAAAATGTTAATGGTGCCTTCCTAGAAATGCTCAGTTTCCCACTTTCCTTGCAGAAGAATTTCGTACATCTTACATCTCCTTATATTATTCGGATCAATTTTTTTTCAAAGCCGCCGTTTAACATCTTCATCCGTTAAAGAATCATCTAGAAACGTTCAGAGTCCACTTTGATGTTCTTGAATTTACTTCTATCCTTCTAAATTACGATTACGATACTTTGTAAGAATGATCATCAACAACGAAATTAATTACATATATTTCGTTTCGTCTCATTTCAAAAGAGTTCATAATAGGAAACCAGCAGAGTTTCGACAATAGACGAGATCAGAGTTCACGCCGAACTGTCGTTCGTTTTTTTTTGATTTTCATAAGGAACTGCTAATAAGTGGATCTCAAATTTATGATTTTAAGTTTAACATTGGGAATTTGCAGATTCTCGATGTTCATGTTCATCATTCGATGATGTTTCGCCATCCGCATACACGCTCCTCTCTGTTCCTGTAAAGATCGTTGTTGGTGTCCCACAGATACTCTGATCCTTGTATAGTTCCACGAATTTTCTCCTGCCATTTCACGGCCATCTGTATTACTGTGTATTAGGTGCAATTACAAGAGTCCGGATTATGAACGTCATCTGTTTTATTTATTGCGCACACATCACTGCACCACTTCACTGGTAATCGGATTTTCACTGACCCAAGGGGGGCCCAAGGTTCATACAAAATCTTTATTTTGCCAAGAGATGGCACACCAATCGTCTACTGTTGTCTTCTTTTAATTAGTACAGTAAAACCTTTTTTGTACGGTAGATAGGGACCGCATAAAATAAACCGCACAAAAAAATCGTAAATTTCATAAATACTTACATATAACAAATAATTTTGTACAAGATATTACAGAAACTACGTCAAAGATTTACGAGATACATGAGAAAGTGCAAAGAAAATAAATAATTAAATTACACATACTTGATCCGGGCAATGTCCACCATCATCAATGACTTTTGCTAGTACTTTACAATAATTCTTAGCTCCTGTTTCATCGGCGGACGCAGCAGCCTCGCCTTGTATCTTCACATTGTGCAGTGCGTAACGTCGTAAAAATCCAGTTAACCAGCTCTTGCTCGCAGAAAATTTCAGGTTATCAAAACAGGATGAGGAACTAGATGGTTCTAAATCCTTTAGCTGGTTGAAATACTCTCTGGCTTTTTCTCTAATTAAATCTCCGTGAATGGGAATCCCTTTGTTAGTTAAATCTTTCATCCAAAACACGAGAGCCTGTTCCGTTCTCTCTATTACAATATTTCTTGAATATGATGCCCTTCTACTGCTTTCGTTTGTTGCACTATTAATAGATTCATTTATTTTACTCGCACGTTTCTGTATAGCTCTTATAGTGGATTCACCTAATTTAAATTCGTTAGCAACAGCTGTGGATCCTTCACCATTTTCTAGTCTCTTTAATATTAGAATCTTTGTTTCTAATGGAATTGTCTTTCTTTTCACTTTTTGGCTACAATTATTCATTTTAGCGTGTACTTCATCCGTCTACAAATAAAAATTATATACAAATAGAAAAAAAGTAATTTATTTACCTTTAATCTCACTATAAAATGAATCCTAAATCAAGCGAGTCGTGGTTACAACTTGGAATACGAAGCGTCAAACGAAAGCTCTGTTCATAACAAATGAACAGAGCGCCTTGGAGTGTACAACCTGATGTTTCAAAACAAAGATGGCGGCATACCGGGTGTATAAAGCCACCTTGATCGACTAACAAATAAAAATCGCACAAAACAAATCGCATAAAAACAGGTTTTACCATATGTTGTATATTTTTATAGGTTATTTTGACAAATAATGGTAAACATATCAACTGTTCAGACTTTGCTAATATTTGTGGTTAGACGCAAAAAAAAACAGAATAAACAGAAGATTTGCAAAACATAATATATTTTTAGAAATATAATAAAATATTTGTTTTTGTATTTGTATTTGCACAGGTTATTTGCTTGCATGCAAAATTTCATCACAGGAACTCCTTTATGTCTTCAATTTTAATCCGCAAATCATCGTCGTTCGTCGGATTATCTAAATCGTCGATCTTTAAACCGAAATTTAAGGGTGCTTGAATTAGTGGGCTGCTATCAATCACTGAAACAAATAAAAAAAAACATTAAATTATGAATTAAAGAATTATTTTATACTACATTCTTCTAATAATATTTTGCCAAGTATTTAAAAAATATTTAATTTACTTTTGTCTGGGTCGACGAAGGGCCAACTCGTTGTCGTTAATTTAGCAGGAGTAAGATTAAGATTAAGGACTTCGTATTCGTTAGAAGGATTGTTGTCTTCTGTACTTTGAGAAGAGTTCAACATCCGGGCCCGTCTTCTGCGAGCTGCAGATGCCGCGTTTCTTTTTCTCCTCGCCAAGCGAGCTTCCTGGCTTTCGTAGGCTCGACTCACGGCGTGCCTCTCGAGGTCCTTCTGCCGCAAACGATCCAGCGTCTCCTGACTCTGTCTCGCTCTCCAACGATTCACCCTCTCCCTGTTCAACCTCTGCTTCCTCTGTCCCGGCGTTTCCACCACTTGATAATCGTACATTAGGTTACTGCAATTTCCCATTCACAGAATACATGACATGTACTACACAGACAACGCTCAGTTAACGTACATAATTGCATAATGCATACATGAAACTACTTAACGTTCGGTCAATCGGTGGTTATCATGTACGTTAAGTGAACGTTGACTGTACTATATAGTTGATAATACACAAATACGTACTTATATTCATCAGATTTTTCACTGCTCATCGCTATATTAAATTCCATTTGGTCTCTACGATTCAGATAATTGTATTTAGTTATAAATCACATATAACAATCATACTAACGATTACCTAGGCACTTTAGCCACTGAAGTTAGTAAGGATGTTTGAGCGGTAGGTCTCACATCCACTTCTTCGTATTCAATCTTTATGTCATCTGCCAGTATCATGTTTTGCGTTTCATTCGCTTTGCTAAAAACATTAATCTTTTAATTAATATTAAATTTACTAAATGAAACTTATACACGAATTACATTAGACTTGAATGTAAATTACCTGACAACTGATTTTGGTATACTTGGAGCAGACAGGTCCTGTGCGGATTCAACACATGCGTCCTCGCATTCAATTTTAATATTCACTTCAGAAATGTTACTTTGTATACTGCAAATAATGAAAATAATTAGTAAACTCATTTTGTTTATATAATTGTTCAATTGTTTACCTAAGATCTTCGGGCATACAATTAACATCGTGATGTTGAATCGTTACCGAACTTAAACCTGATGACTGGACGGACGTTTCTTTTACTTCTTGATCTTCACATTCGACTTTGACGCAAACTTCGCTCAAATCCTGCTTTTTACTGGTATTACTACAAGTGAAATTATAGTCGATTAATTGACATTATAATACAATTAATAATAACAACGTTGTTATGGTAACAATTTTGATATTGTTTTATTAGTTACCAAATGAAGTGCGTTTATTCTCTAAGTAAATCTAGAATCCAAATTCGAATTAGATATAAAGTATCCTTACCTAAGATCTTCTGTTCTCGAAGTCGGTGTGTTTCCATCGAAAAGCCTTTGGTTAATTGCATCCGTTGATTGATTTTCATCAACCTCTTTGCGTTCAACCTTGATTTCAGTCGCAGCAATTTTTCTGGTTTTGTTCTTTTTGCTATAAATAAATATATATAGTAAACGACATTTTTTTCTCGATTTATTCCAAAAAGTCAAGTTTTTCAAAATCTATATTTTATTACAACAAATAGATTTTTTTTGGGTTTAAAAATGAAGTCTTTCCAATTATTATAGGCAACTTTATCAAGTCGCAAATTAATTTTAGTTAAATGTTGATTGATCTTTGAGGCTATATGTGGCAAAAAAAAAGTTTATCACATACTCGTATTTATAAACGTGATCCTTGTCGCTTTTGATGACTACAAATTCCTCCGGTTCGCTGCAAAAAAAAATAAAAAAAAAACAATTATAGTGAAAATGTTTCTATGAATTTGAATATGACACATTTGGATGGGCCTTCAAACCAAGAAGAAGAGAGAAACCATCGGTGATTCTCGTACATCTTCGGGGTTTCAGCAAAGAATCTAATAATAAAGATACCTGTGTTCTTTCTTCGCAGATTTCGGACTTCCAAGTGAATTATTCTCATCCGAGGTGACCCATCTGGAGCAGACTTTGTTAAACTGCAAGTGTTCCCTGACGACTTCGTGAAGCAGAGAACGTGAAATCTGCGGGAAATGTTTGCTCAGTTCGGTCATCGTGATTCTTCTGTTCTCCACGATCCTGCTCTTCACCTGCTCCAGCAAATCGTCGGTGACCAACGAAGGACGACCGCTTCTCTCGTCGTTCTCTACGTTCGATCTGCCCTTGCTGAACATCCTGCACCACCTCCTCACCATCCCATCGCTCATAACGTTCTCCCCGTACACTTCGCACACCTGTCGACAGATCTCCGCAGGTCGTACATTCTTCGCGTTCAAAAATTTGATTACCGAACGTATCTCGAAGCTTGTGGGATTTTCGATTCTCTTGCTCATTTCAGGTCGAAAATGAGATTATCATTAATTGGAATGAATAACAGCTGGAGGTGATATAACCTACACGATCATCGAAGAGGGCGCGGGTAATCTGCGCGGACTCAATGCGCAATCGGAACTTTCTTTCTGGACATGCCTCGTGCATCCATTTATCTGACTCGTCCGCATGCAAATTGTATACAGTGTGACTCACTTAAGGCAATTTACACGTTATATATCATTAAAAACGATTAACATAGCTTTAGTATAGTCAATAGCAATATAAAACAAAGTATGTTATAATAATAAGAGTGTCTTGGCAACAAACCGACGAAAATAAACATATGTTTCATCAAGATGGCGGATTATGACAACTGTCAACACTCTTCATAATATACTATAGCATTACAGACATTGAAATTCGTTTCTTATTATTATTTAATTCATTTTAAAATTGATAAGTTCGTGCGTACTATTGCACAAAAACTTAATTTATACCAATAATATTTACTATATAAAAATTGAGATTAGTTTGCATTACAGAAATATATTACAATGACCAAAATACTATCAAAATACTGTCAATATCCCGCATAGTCCGGTTTGAAAATTTTAAAACAAATCCGATTACCCGGACTATACGAGATATTTCTGCAATTATATTTTTAATGTTATTTCATATTAATATGAGACTTCTAAAACGTGTAATGCAATCATTATTGAAATTTAATTACCTGTTTTTAATCATGGCTTTCTTTAAATCATCTTCTTGTGATGAATTAATGCAAAATCGTTTGAGCAAGCTGTACATATGCAGACTGATAGAAAATATTACAATGGCAGCATTACGCCGTGGGAATTGGTTGGATTTCATATACCGCATAAAAAAAATCGCATAAAAAAGGACCGCACAAAAACAGGTTCTACTGTACATATAAATATAATATATTTTCATAAACATAATACAATTATACAAACTTCATCACGTCATTAATATCGGTGGCAATCACAAGCCCGACAACTAAAATCCCGTCTATCGAAATTCCGAGTGTATCGAAATCCCGACTACCATGATCCCGACTATATCGAAATCCCGACAGTGTTTTTTATTATTATAAATTTCTACAATAACATTTTTATGGTAGTCGAGATTTCGATACAGTCGGGATTTCAATAAACGGTCTTTTGGTTGTCGGGCTTGCGATATAGACCCCTTTAATATAATTCACAAATATTAGTGGTTTCTTCCATTTAATTCCTCGGTCGGACTATCACACTGCAAATAAAAACAAAATCGTAAAATAAATATTTCAAATAATAAGATGACTAATTAATAATACTAAATATTAAATTCTCTACATAGCAATCAAAATCTAAAAACAAAATTTTAATAATATTTACAAAAAAAATAACAATTTATTAAAATTAATAAATAAATTGTCTTACATTTCATAAATATCCAAATTGCTGTTTATGATTGTTTGAATTATTCGACCTTAGTAACATCATTCAATTGTTTGTTTCGTGTTTTATACATTCTGCTACAACGAAAAATTTGATGTAACAACAAACAAATCTATACTACATAAAGTAAAATACAGTGCAACGTCTTTTATTTAATGTTTCAAAAAAATCAGGAATGAAATGAGACCAAAGACAAAATTAGTACCTTTCTGTAATGCAGTTTAAAACTGTTAATTATCACTTGGAGAAGCAAAGTCATCAGAATTCACTAATAAATTGTTTTATTTTAATTTGCCATTATTCTTTTCTCGCTACAAGACGTTTCTTTCATCGCGCAAGCCATTCATCAGACGCTATACATTCACCCTCAAGTTTTAAGTCTTTAAAAAATTTCTCTACGTGCAATTTCAAAACATTTCTGGACTATCTTGTAAACTTCGTTTTTCAACAAACCAGACGTACAAACAATCATCAACTGACATATTTTTTCCGAATCTCGATTTCTTCCTTTCCAATCTGCAATTTCTGTCTACTTTATCCAAGAAAGATCGTAGTTTTCCCTCATCTGCCATACATTCCCGTATCAAACCTAATTCGCGTTTCAGTTTTGTCATTGTTACACCGCTCTATTATACTAAGATTTTCTTTATTAATGTTTTCCACTGCCCTTTGAAATAAATGATTCATTTTTATTCTGCAATAAACACGGCAGTTGTTATAAAAATATTTAGAGATGATTTTAAAATATATAACGAACAACAATATCTTATTCAATCCGCTCCGAATTTTAACAAAAATACAAAAAAAAATATAATAAATTATAAAAATTACCTAGGAAGTCTTGATTTTGCTATTCTTCGTAGACACAGCCGTTGCGGGGCAACAATACACGAATCTCTTGTTACGTTCTTCATCGCATTTGTTCCATCATCCTCGCATTCTACCTTGATTTTAGCACTTGTTCTGTAAATCAAAACATAATATAAAATAAGTAAACTAAAATTGTAAATTTTATCTGAAAATAAACATTTAAATATTTAAAACAAATTACCTGAGAGCTTTAGGTATACCGTTTCCTGCATCATGCGGTGTCATTACTAAATTTGAAATTTTTATCTTTTGTTCTTCGCATTCAACCTTCAGACAAACATTAGTAAATTCTTCAGTTCCGTTGGGGTTACTGTAATAAATAGAAAGAAAATTAAATTAACCAAAATTGCACTTAAAATTTTCACGTAAAAACACTTTTAACTAGATTCAATTTAAAATATTCTTTTTTTTTTTCTATTTTAATTATGCATTACCTGCGAATTTTCAATTTCGTGTTCGTGGGACTTCCATCAGTAAGTTGAAAGGGAATTTCATCTATTCGATCGTCATCATTGCCTTCAAGTTTTACCACTACTTGAGTAACATTCTTAAGTTTTCTGTTATTGCTGCAAATTGAAGATAGTAGAAAAACTAAAGAAAATATAATATATGGAAAAATCAATCTTCAGTCGTTTTGATTCAATCTTTCAAATTATTTGATTCGATTGATGCGACATCTAGAGTTTTTCAGCCGAATTGGCAAATGTATAGTTATGAAAATTTCATGATCATTCCTAGAACTAGATAATTTTGCAAAAAGAAAGTTATATTGATACTTACTTATATTGATAAACTGTATCCTTTTTGCTTTTGGCAACGACTAATTCCTCACTGAAAATGAAATAACAATGAATTTAATTTAGTTAATCCAGTAGCCTTCTTTAAGAAAAATATAGTGAGTAGAATAATTTTGACAGATACAATCGGCAATACACGTGCATCATCGGAAAATAAACAAATTCAATTCAACAAAATTGATTACCTGTTGTCCTTCTTGGCGCATTTCGAGCTCGAAGGATTCGAGACCGAACTGTACTCCTCCGAGGCAACCCACCTGGTGCACACCTTGTGAAACAACAGGTGTTCTCTGACGACGTCGTCGAGAAGAGATCTGGAGGTCTGCGGGAAATTATTGCTCAATTCGGTCATCGTGATCCTGTTCTCGATGATCTTCCTCTTCACGTCGAGAAGATCTTCGTTGATTGTAGACGCTACATCGTCCTCGACGTTAGTCTTCTTACTGTTAAAAGTCCTGCACCACTTCCTCACCATCCCATCGCTCATCGCATTCTCCCCGTAAACTGAACACACCTGACGACTGATCTCCACCGGACGCACATTTTGCGCGTTCAAGAACTTGATGACCGAACGTATCTCGAAGCTGGAGGCATTCTCTATTACTTTGCTCATTTTAAAGTTAGAATTATCAGCACTATTGTAAGGAAGATCAAAATTTGATCTTGTCATGCGAAGGGTTGAACTGTGAATGTTCGTTTACCGAAAGGGACAGAAGTCTGCACAGTGAGTAAAGTGGCGCCTCGGAAGTTTCATCACAGAAGCTTGAACCAAAACAAATACTCATAACCTCAATACGTTATGTATACAACAGTTATATAACAATTAGCCAATCGTTGTTTGAATACAATAAAATTTATTATCTACATTTTCATAACAAAATAGTCCTTAGTGTACTAACTTTTATTGATCTCCCAAATATACATGAATTTATACAATTTCTTAGAAAAATAAACCTTTTAGAATAAATTGAATAATACTTGAAACTAACTAATTCAGATAAATTCTAAAAAATACTTTACTGTACTAACTTTTATTGATCTCCCAAATATATATATTTACAACATCAATTTATACAATTACTTAGAAAAATAAACCTTTTAGAATAAAGTGAATAACTAATTGAGATAAATTCTAAAAAATATACTTTTAAGAAATGTTATATAATTATTGAAATCTGTTATTCTTTTGAAGTAAATACTCATTAATGCGTAATTTCACTTATATAATCTCCCTTTCGACTAGAAAATATGAACTTTAGCAATATATGAATGCTCTAACTACAGTAACCTTTTGTCTTTTGATGTGCGAAGATGAGCTGTCTTGCACGTGTCAACACGTTTGAATCTTCGTAAACATCTTTATTTCATTTATCAGAGTTTCTGAAGATGTTGCATTAAATTTTGCAAAATCCCTGATTCAACAGTTGTGCATGATACTGGATTATCTTCACGTAGAGCTTCAGGATCTACGGTTATGGGACAACTTGAACGTGATTGATCTTCATCATTGGTCTTAAACATTCAGAAGAATGGTTCAGTTCTTCCAGTATCCAAATATTATGTAAAAAATTTCGAATCTCAACATTTTCTACATGTATATCTGAAATTATTGTAACTTTAGAAAAGTGAATCGGAAAAAAAAAATCAGACTTTTCAAAATTCAATTCAATAAATTTACTTCAAGTTTGATACGCACGAACTTATGATTCATCCTTATTAAGATTCTCACGCGACTCTTCTACTGCGCAATCTTCAACAGGTTCCTGGAAATCCCCTTCTTTAACACCTTCGTATTCAATATTGATATCATCTACTGCCCTCATTTGCTGCATTTCAATGTTACTAAAAACAATTATAATGATCCAATATTTTCAACTGACAACATAATTACTTACTCAAACTCATTGTCGTTACGCACATCATCTAATATAGTGTTTTCTTTCTTGATACTAAAATCAACTATATTTAGTTTACAGTTGAAAGCTAACATAACAGAATTACCAAAGCAATACGTCTTCTACATTGGTACTTCCACTAATGAGGGAAATTGGAGTGGATTTCCTTTGATCATTCACTATATACTTAGATTCTATTTTATGTAAAATGGCATAAATCTCAGCTTTGGCGTTGTTAAGATCTTCACCCGAGAATCGTTTTAATCTTGCAGAAATGCTGTTTATAAACTCATCATGCTCACTTTCGTTAGTTCTTTCCCTCGGATTTGAAAGAGTTACTGTTGTATCATTCGATACAAAATAGTTTGTATCTGTAAATGTAACAACAAAAAGTTATATTAAAATACCACCAACAAATAGGACTCTTCGAGTTATGGTGTATATAATATGTAAAGTTAATTATTCCCAAGAACTTTTTATGTAATTATCATTTAAAGTATATAATCAATCATAAATGTATACGAAACAACATTACATAAATTTTGTTCATACCTGTCGATGATTGCACATATTTATTATTTTCGTTCATATCTCTGTGGCATAGAACTGCTTCATTTATAATTCGGTGATTTGTTCTATTATTGTTTACTTTTTCTGCAGATATTTCAACTAACTCTGCATTATCAACGTAAGTTTCCATTTCATCAAAATCTCGTTGATCATTTACATCATTAAGAGGATCATTGTCAATTTCTCTTGTAGTTGATACATTTCTTCCAAGAAGAATATTGGAATCTATATCCTGAAAGCTAAGTTCTTTTCCAGCGCAATAATTTGGTGCTAAATACGTGCGTGTCGGAATTTTCTTCCAAAAGAAACCTGTTTCATCGACATTCACCATTTCTTCATCTTTATAAACACCCTTTCCAATCAGATCCTTCAATTCCTGCGGATATTTAACGTCGGTCTCGTTTTCCCCATCAAAACGGAAATTTTGAATGCCTGTGCGGTTTTTGAAACGGTAAAACCAACCTTGACTTGCTGTAAAAATATCGGCCACGTCTTCAGTATAATTACGTTGCAAATCTTTGTAAAGACTTAACGCTTTGGCTCTAATATCCATTTGACTTATAGGAATTCCCTTCTGATTCAAATCTTCTATCCATTTGTACAGAAGCCTTTCCATTTGCACCATTCGACCACTTCTGATTTTCGTTATTGCGTTCATCAAGTGATACTCCTTATCCTGCGCTTTTAGTTGATCTTTTCGTTTGATAAGTTTTCTAAGTGACGATTCCTCCATATGTTTATTCCGACCAATTTCAGCGTACGATGCTCCACCTTCGTGAAGCTTTATTATCTCCAGTTTCTGCTCGTTTGTTAACCACTTGCGTTTCTTTCGCACGGAAACGCATTCTGCTTTCGGATTCATGGTTTGTTCAAGCAACTTTTTAAATGTCGAAATTGTTGGAGACTACAGATTGAGCGGTTGAATACTCAGCCACGTGTATCAAGAACTAATACTTTTTGTTACTAATATTTTATTTGTAGTTGGAATCTCTGTTATTGATATTGGAGAGCAGAGCGGGAAGTAAACAAAACATACACTCATGCGCAAAATAATTCCACATGACATTAGACTTCAATAATATAGTTTGGTTATGTTTAATTACCAATCGGACTATGCGAGGTATTTCTATACTACAATCATTTTGAAGTAGGCAATTTCAACTGCACATATTCCTATTGATTTCTTACATTTTCTTATCAAAATTTACAGGTATATCAACATCACAGTAATAAATTAAAGACAATATTATTACAGGTAAAAGTTGGAATTGTCAATATTCAAATGTAAAAGTTTTCTTCTCCAAATTTATTTTTAAGTATTTTCAAAATAATTATGTATCTGACATATGAAATGACAGCAAAATGAAATGATAAAGCTTCTTTTATGACACCCTGTATATATTATAATACTTAAAAATATGTTTAAAATAATAAATAACTTAAGAAATATTATATTTTAATTATAATACAAGAAAATATTATTGGGAAATAAATCAATCGCTTATTATTTCCACTTTAATTGAAGGTTCCAAGTTAACATCACATTCTTCCATGGTTTTATCATCTTCTTCGATTGCTCCAATTTCATCCGGAGATTCGCACTTCATCGTAACGAATTCTGATTCGTCATAATCACAGTCATCTGCTTCATCTGAAATACAAAATTGTATGTTTTGTCACAATTTGATAACGTTTGAGATATGTAAACTGATACAAATTATTCGTTATACTTACTCATTTCACACTTAACGAATTGCCAAGTTCCAAACTCCCCGTTTTCAGGCTCAATATTTGTATTAATAACCCTACTCCTTCGTATCTTTCTGGAAAATAATGATTCGTTACAAAGCCGAATTCAATTCGTTACAAGAAATACCCTTTATGTTTGTCTATCAATTCTTCAATATTCTGTTTAAGCTTTGAGGCTGTGTCGTACGAATGTTGCCTCAATTTCGCAGCTATATCCAACGCAAAATAATAGAATTCGTCTTTGACGACGGGAAGGTTGGCTGGAGCTTTAACTTCATTCGTCTTCCTCCTTCGCTTATTCTTCGTCACGATTGTCGAAGAGTTCTTTAACTTTATCAAATCGTCGACGGTGTTTTCCTGCGTGGTTCTGTCCTGTAAGCAGAAACGTGGAGTAAATGAAAATATTGTTTAATATCGAGGATGTTTTCGTTACGGTTTGGACATGTGAGAAACCGGTGATTTTCGTCCTCGCCCTGAACCTGTAATACCATCCGCTGCTCGCGAGAAACGGTAGAACATCTCCGGCATGTTCGCCCCGTTTAATCTTAAGCTCCTCGTACAAACTCAACGCTTTACTCTGAACCTTCTCCATGGACAATTTCTCGTTGGTCTTCGAGCATTCGGAGATCCAGAGCTTGAGCAGTCTCTCCATCTCCTCGATAACGGAACCCCTCTTCTTGGAGACGATGTACGAATCGACGGAGCCCGAACTGATAACGTGATCCAATATTTTGATTTTGTCCTTGAGGATGGTCGATATTGTCGATCTGTTGAGGCCGTAAAGGGTGGCTATCTCGGATGTGGTTTGTCCCTGATCGGCAAGCTTAAGAATCTCGACTTTCGTCTGGAACGACAGCGATCTGCGTTTCTTCGTGCTGATATCCATTGTTGAGGTGTACATATGTGTTTATGTACTATGGTGAACTACTACAACACGTTACTCCAAAACAGCTGATCATCCGCTACGTTCGTATCTCCGAACGTTGCGTTCGTATCTCCGAGTGAAACATTCGTAACTGCGACTTTGAAGCGCTCAATTTAAAACAAAAGCAACGAAATGTATAATTCTTAAGTAATGTACACTGCATATTATCAAACAGGAAATGCGATAAACAGTTTTGAAAATAATCAAAACTTTCACTTCATGTCATTCGCATTTTAATTACAAATTTAGCATTCAAATTTTATTTGATCAAGAAACTATCAAAAAATATAGTCAATTATTTAGAATGTTACTGAAAATGTTTATTTTGTTTGCATTGATTGTATTCAAATGGTGAATTAACAAATTTATCAATGATATTTCTTCTCCATATAGATTATAGTAATAGTAAACTAACTGATGTACAGGCCCCTTTCTTTGTATGGATTTTCTCTATTTCAAATCAAGTGAAGTCTCAAATAAAAAATTGCTAGGTGTCATCAAATTAGTAAAAGTATTTTGTTTGCATTGATTGTATTCAAATGGTGAATTAACAAATTTATCAATGATATTTCTTCTCCATATAGATTAAATCATAGCATTTTATTCATTTCTTCAGTGTTAAAGAAATACAAGCCATATCCAAATTTAAATATTTGTCTTTAGTTTAGAACAAACAGATCCATTATCATTATTATCATTATCATTTGGGTTGTTACATAAGTCCGTTCGTTTTTTAAACTTTTTGAACGAATGTACACACATACTTACTGGCGTCAGCTTGCGTTTATTTAGATCTTTTGGAACCCACACATCAGCTCTATTGACGTAGCCTTCAGCGTGGAGATGTCTTTGAACTGTAACATGTGACACTTTGACAATGTCCGCTATCTCTCGCAGTGTGAAATGCGGATTCTCGTGCACTACGGTCATTATTTTGGCCGTGTCAATTGTTACAGGACGTCCGGAGCGCTCCACATCTGTAAGCTCGAATTCGCCGCTCCTGAACCGGGCATACCACTTTTGTACGACCCGATCGGTAACTGCTGATGCCCCGTAGCAATCGCATATCTCTTTGGCTGCTTGAGTTGCCTTTTTTCCTTTTCGATAATAATACAGCATGATATGCCGAAAATGCTCGTTTTGTTTTTCCATTTCAAAAACTAGATAGCAAAACTAAATAAACTATACACTGAAATATATAGCCTACAACTATCGTTATCAAAATATCAGCGTCAACGAGTGCGCACCATGATACGAACGGACTTACGTAACAAACAGTGGCGGAACTACAATGCGATTGGGGAGCGGATCTAAATGCGGTCAAATTAAAAATTGTTTAGGACCCTCAAATAGTAATCTAACTGATGTATAGGCCCCTTTCTTTGTATAGATTTTCTCTATTTCAGCGATCGGGGAACCGGGGTAAATTACCCAAAATGGGGTAAAAATTATTTTTTTTGGGTAATAGGGAAATTTTTCTAATTTCATCTTTCCAAACTCAGAGAGCGGTTCTCTGACTACTTTTCAGATCTTGATGTACAAACTGTGAATTGGGTTGTACATCCTTTTAAATGTGAAATTACTAACATACCAGAAGAACCTGCAGGTTTGGCAGAGGCAATTCTTGAACTTCCATCCAATACTGTATTCAATTTGAGACCAAAGCAAATCTGTCGTCTTTTTGGTTGTCAAAAGGTGCAAAGGCTTTCAAAATTGCACATGAGGAGTCGGTAAAAAAATTGCTGCCATTTGCAACAGAGGTAGGTTGTTGTACAAGGCTTTTCCACTCTAATGAACATAAAAACGAAAAACAGAAATCGAGTAAACGCCGAAGACTATTCAAATTGCTCTTACATCAAAAAGTCCCAATTTTAAAGTAATTAATCAAACATGAAGCAACATCATTTTTCCAAAACCTGAAGGGGGAAAGTTTTCAATTAATTTTTGTTTGTTCCAATTTAAGAATTATTTTGTTTGTCTATTACTATTTGTTACTATTTTCATGTAACTTTTTTTTATAAATATGTAAATGCAAATTAATTCAATAAATAATGTTTATTTATAATTTACATTGATTGTTTTCTATTCAGAATGGGGGGGTAATATCGACTTACGCAATAATATTTTGGGATAATGGTTAAAAATGGCTCTATTACAAATCAAGTGAAGCCTCAAATAAAAAATTGCTAGGTGTCATTAAATTTGTTAAAGTACCCCAAATTTACTTAGGCCTTATGAAGCCACACCTTTAATAATATCCGAACCAATGATTCGAACTTTTACATGTGAGAAGAGTCTTTTTTTGAGAATTTGCTCTTCTTTTCTAGCATTTTCTTGGAAAGAATACTATAAAAGAGTTTTAGATAACAGAGTAATGAAATGTAGAACTTATAGGCAAAGTCAATACGATAAGTGCAGAATCGAAAACATATTACATAGTCAAGATTTGAACTATTTGTAAAATATTAAGATTTTGATGAAAGTGTTAAGCCTAAGACAATTTTAAATCTGTATGTCTAATAAACTATGAGGCAAAACAAAGATTTAAGAGAATACATGGACTATAACAATATAGTTTTATAACACGGATTAAATATATCATTAAGGACAGTTATACAACAAATACATTTAGAAATAACAAATTTTATTTACTTTCAATAAGAATTGTAATTTACCTTTAAGATAATATTAAATGTTAATATTTTCTTTGTTATTCCAAAAAAAAGGTATAATATCCAATAATATCAAATTTATAACTATCAACACTAAGTATTAATAACAACATTAAACATTGATGTTGTCAAAAAAACATTATTCATAATCAATATATAATTACTAATAATTTGTTAAGCATATAAACTAGGTATAAATTTTATATTTTTTGAGTAAGTTTGGTTGTCTATACCAAAGAAGTGTAGTGGGGTGGTAAAACTGCTTCGCACAATTTCAAAAAATGTCAGTTACAAGAGTGCAAGTCCGTTGAAAGTGTGTAACGAAGATTTGGTTAAGTTCAATTTTATCGCTAATAATATGATAAAATAAATGAGAAAGCAGGTAAATTAACGATTTCTTTAGAACACATCGATTAAATACACTTGGATTAATAACTTTAACTGTGTTCTTTTGTAAAATAATGAATATATTTTTTGGCGGGACAAATTTTATTTTCACAACTACGCAGTGGTAAAAGCTTTATACTTCACGTTTTAAATATTGTTCATTTTGTATTAACTTTTCTTTTAATTATTGTATTATATAAGCAATGGAATATGATATTTATTCATTCGTATTACTCTGTTGATAAGCTGTTGCTTCTCCCATGTTGCCACATGTTGCTCTATTTACAAACAAAGCCATGCTTAATTTGATTGATTTAATTAATTGTTTTACTTCTTTTATATATAAATCAATCAGTGAAATTAATTAAACATATTTAGTTTTCATTTTTTACAATTATTAGTCAAACTTGTTTCTATTGTTATTCAAATGGCAACACGTTGGTCGACAGTGGGGGAAATGGACGCTCGTTGGTAACCAATGAAAACCGCTGATTGCGTTTGACGGTTATAAACAAGTTCTGTTTTGTATCTGTGCGGTTATTTCAATTTTCGTTTTAAGGTTATTATCATTCGCGCGATTCTTTTTACAGCGTATTCTTTGAAGACAAGATGAACAACGATTTCGGACAGCTGAGGTTCTTGAAATCTGATGGATCCGGCGGAAAACCGTTCGTCCTTAAAGCGGAATCCTGTTCTATAGGATCCTCAATTAATGCATCCATTCGGTTGATGGACAAGGGCCATGGCCTACTGGCTGTTCACTGCATCATTGATGTGGATAAAAATGGTGTGGTATGTATGCTCAATTGATGTATTTCAATCTTTTCTAATTTCCTTGCATTTGTAGGCAACCTTAAGCAACAAAGCCCCCAGTAATCCTGTAAAACTGAATGGTCAAAATATCCTTAAGAAGAGGTGTCTCAAACCTGGTGATGTATTAACAATTATGGACAAGCGACTAAGATATGAGAATGAGAATATAGCACCAGAGGTAAATATTGCAAATATATTTTATTGGATCCATTATAGTGTGTTTGTTTAATTTCAGATTTTAAGTAGTATTGACCAAGTTAGAAATATTAAGACCCCCAAGAGATCCAGAATAACAATGGTTGACTTCAGAAATAGAAGATCTGCAAGGACACCAGAGTAATGTTTACATAATATTTTTTTTTATCAAAGTACTATAAAATTGTATTGCTTCAGACCTAAAAGACCAAGGAGACCACCAATCAAAAGGAAACGCTCTAACAGCTTTTCCAACATACAAGAGTTTGACATAATACCTGAAGATGATACCCAACATTCTCCATTCAAAACGCCTGGTCGTAGAAAGTCCATTAGGTGAGCAATAACTTAATTATGATCATAGCAATTTTATTAAATAATGTAATTCAGTTGATTCATTGTTGACATTAACATCATCTGTGTTTTTATGTTAGTTGAATTATTATTAATTGGTTTCATTTGTATTTATTGTAGAGTGAGAATGTCAAATTCGGGCTTTACAAAAGCGGATGTATCGTCATCGCAATTGGTACCATCCAAGGAAACATCGACTCCAATGGCCGAACAAAAGTAATGATCTAATTCTGATCATAAAAAAAATAATCTTGATTAATTTGTTTTTCCTTGTAGGTTTCAGGTTGTTACTCCACAAAGTACTATTAAACCTACGCTGAGGAGCGAATTGCTCAAAAGTTTGGGCAAACCGAAGTTACCAGAGCTCGTCAAGCCTTCCGAGGAGAGCGACACAGACGATATAGAGAAACGCGAACTGAGGACTCCCGTAGCTGAAATTCTCGAGAATTCCGAGGATTTGATCAATTTTAACACGCCTGTAAATAACACATCCATAGTGGTCATTGACAGTCCAGACGAAGAGAATGTACCGGTTCGTAGCAAGAAATCGCTGACGAAAGACATTTCCATCCAAAGGCTAACGCAGAACGACGATTCCATCGTGGTATTGGAATCTCCAAATTCGAAAACCCCCAAGTCCATGCTGAGGGCAAAACCGAAAACGCCAAGTACGAATCTCAGGAAGACGAATTTGATATCGGAGCTGGAAAAGGAGTCATTCTCGAGTACACCGATTGCCGAGTCTTCAGCTATCTCTAAGCAAGTGCAATTCGAGAGCCTTCGAAAATCCATGCGCGGTTCATCAACATCCACACCGGATGGATCACCTAAGAAGATGTACCCCAAAACGCCGAGGCGTAATGAAAACCATTCAGAGTCGAAAGGAGTCGACGAAGTATGTTCATCGGAATCTGAAGAAGACAACTTCAAAACACCAAACAATAATACCCCTGTCGTTTCGAAGTCGACAATGAAACAGCGCAGATCTACAGTTAAGATGACCGATGGAGATACTACACCTAAAGGTAATTTTTACTTGAATGTTTACATGTTTAAATATTAATTTGAAATTCGTTGAATTTTAGCTGTTTCCCCGACCTCCGTACCGAAATCACGCAGATCCTTCAGAAACTTCGATTCAATGATATCGGATAAGAGTAGTAACTCTTCCGCTCATTCTAACGAATCTTTAGATATGCAAGTTTCTACTGAAGCGATCAGTAATACAGATTTACCAGATTCTACCAGCAATGAATCTTTGAAATACTTGAATTCAGCTAAGTCTATTGAGTATTTGAAGGAATCCGTTAGTGAACTTTCTATGAAAGATGATTCCTTTAGTATGAATGTTAGTCCTGTTCCTAATATTCCCAAGAGGAGGGCCGTTACCGAACAGAATGTTACCAAAAGGCGCGGACAGAAACGCCGTAGTTTAAATTTGTCTTCCGAATTGAATCAGGATGAAGTCTGCGACGATTCTGCGAGCAGTGTAAACACATCATCTTTCATCTACATACCTGGAGATAGTTCTAAACTTAGTTCAACAAAAGTATCATCTAGAAGATCAAGCAAGGAAAAAGAAGATTCTTTTGATTTGGATACAAATTCCTCTATGGAAATTGGCGCCTTGAATGTTTCGGAAAATTCTCTTGAAGAAGCAACAAGTGATAAAGATGAGAATGCGAAGCTTAGGACACCAAAGAAATCGGATGATTCTAGTGATCCCAAAGACGAGAAATCACCAAAAGTACAAAATGTGAGTAACGTGAGCGGTGTTCAAGGAATATTTGAAACACCGAAACCCGAAACAATGCTTGAAGACGAATCCAAAAATATAGTCAAATTTGTTGAAACATCTGATGCAGAAGAAAATATTAATCCAGATATGTTGCTGGTAGAGAAAAGTGAAAGCGTGATTTGTGAAACTCCAATACAAGATCATCGACGTTCTTCTATTAGAAACTCGAAGAAAGTAGAAATTGTAATTCCTAAATCGATGAAAGATGAGTCCCAGTTGGATATTTTTGAAGATGTGTCTAAATCAGATTTGGTGGTTGAAGAGAATAAACATGATATTTGCACAACACCAGTGCCAGAACATCAAGAATGCCGAAGATCTGTTAGAAGTATGAAGAAGTCTGTAGATTCGCCATTGAAAAAAAGTAAGGATTCTCCAAAACTCCTTGAAGTTTCTACACCTGTACCAGAAGAATCAAATATTGATGATATATGTGTCACGCCAGAGTTGGAGGTTCGTCGGAAATCTGTTAGAAGTTTGAGGAAATCAATTGCTGCAACGAAAACACCTCAAAGAAAAAGCGTAATTGTGAAAGATATCGATGAGGAAGATGATGATATAGACACGAATGAAGTTATTGATTCTCCAACTGCAACGTCACCTCAAAATAGAACGCAGAACGAAGATCCAGTTGACGCTGAAGATATCGTACATTTAAGTCCTGTCCAAGAAATACCAGTTTGTCGACAGTCTCGCAGTTCTAAGAAATCAATTGATATTCCGACCACAAACTTAACGCCTCGCAGAAAGAGTAGAGCAGCGGAGGTGCTTGAAACTTCAATAGCTAACGTAGTGGAAGATTCAAATGAAACCGACGAATTGGTTGAGGAAGATGTCGATGAACAATCTACTCCAGCTATAAAATTGACACCACAACGAAAACGTAAAGCATTGGAAGATACTACTGTTTTTAAAACATCAGAACTACATGAAACCGAAGGAATTGTTGATGTAGATTCAACATCTGCGCAAGAAATACAAGTTCGTCGGCAATCTGTTAGAACAGCGAAGAAAGTCGTTGGTTCACCAGCTACAAAGTTGACACCACAACGAAAACCTAAAGCATTGGAAGATACCACTGTTTTTAAAACATCAGAACTACATGAAACTGAAGGACATGTTGAAGAAGGAGATGGAGATTCAACATCTGTGCAGGAAATACAAGTTCGTCGGCAATCTGTTAGAACAGTGAAGAAAGACGTTGGTTCTCCAGCTATAAAATTGACACCACAACGAAAACGTAAAGCACTGGAAGATACCACTGAACCAGAACTACATGAAACGGAAGGAATTGTTGAAGGAAATGGAAATTCAACACCTGTGCAAGAAATACAAGTTCGTCGGCAATCTGTTAGAACAGCGAAGAAAGACTTTGGTTCTCCAGCTACAAAATCGACACCACAAAAAAGTAAAATCATGAAAGATACAGCAATTTTAAACACCCCCATTCAAGAAACACGCAGAAAATCTGCCAGAAGTGCTATTAAAGTAATTGTTTCTTCGATTACCAAATCGACGCCGCAGAGAAGTAGCAGGTTGATGGATGAGCCAATGGTTGATTCTCCTAAAGTGAATACAGTTTCAGAAGTCGTTCAAGATCTGATTGCATCACCTGTACTTAAGAAGAATACGCCAGTGCAAGATATCCAGGTGCGTCGGTTATCCGTTAGAAGTGGTAGAAAATTGATTGATTCCCCGAGCACAAAGTTAACGCCTCAAAAAAGACGTACGTTGCTGAAGGATATACCTGAAGCTGAATTGATTAACAAGAATGTGGAGGATGTGAAAGAAAGTGCGCTAACTCCAAACAAAAACGGTTCTCCTAGTAAGGGAAATAAAATTAGTACACCAAAGAGTTCTGCCGAGGACCAAGAATTGGAAGTACATACTCCAGAGAATTATAATGTGACCGGTAATGAAGACGAATTTTTAACGCCCGCTTTTCTGATGACTACGAAGGAAAGAAGGCGTACCATTAAAAGCGCGAAGAGAAAGTCGTTGGTGTCGCTAACATTGAGTGCGAAGAAAAGTAATAGCGGAATGTTAATTGATTCGAATGTTTCCTCGAATGAAAACGAGAATGAAATAAGTCCGGAAAATGATCTAATGATTATGAGTCCAAAGGTAGTAAAACAATTAATAAAAACGCCAAAACATCAAACTTTAGACGATCTGAGCAATCCATCATTGGGTGTAGAGCAGTTGATGGATTCACCGAAGGAGCAGAAAGATCGTGAAAACGATCCGAGAAGTTCAAAAGCGCGTAAAGAACTAAACAGTCCTCTTGGAGTGAAGAAACTTCAAAGAGAACCCTTGAACGATTTAAGTAACCCTGTTGGTGTTAAACACTTAATGACTACGCCGAAAATCCAGAAAGAACCAGAAAACGACTTGACAAGTCCACGTGGTATCAAGAACTTGATGAAAACACCGAAAGTGCAGAAAGGCCCTAACGATGATTTGAGCAATCCACTTGGAGTAAAGCAATTGATGAAAACGCCGAAAGTGCAAAATGATCCTTTGAACGATTTGAGTAGTCCCCGTGGAGTGAAGCAATTATTAGCAACACCAAAGGTACAGAACGAGCCTAACGATGATTTGAGCAATCCCCTTGGAGTAAAGCAATTAATGAAAACTCCGAAACTGCAAAATGAACCGTTGAACGATTTGAGTAGTCCTCGAGGAGTGAAACAATTATTGGCAACACCAAAGGTACAGAATGAGCCTAAAGATGATTTGAGAAATCCTTTTGGAGTTAAACAATTGATGAAGACGCCGAAGCTGCAAAATGAACCGTTGAACGATTTAAGTAGTCCCCGCGGAGTGAAACAATTATTAAAGACTCCTAAAGCACAGAAAGATCCTAAGAATGATTTGAGTAATCCTCTTGGAGTTAAGCAATTGATGAAGACGCCGAAGCCACAAAATGAACCTTTGAATGATTTGAGCAGCCCGCGAGGAGTGAAGCAATTATTGAGGACACCTAAATCACAGAATGATCCTAAGGACGATCTTACCAATCCTTTCGGTGTTAAGCAGTTGATGGCAAGTCCTCGAGTCCCACAGAATGAACATACTAATGATCTTACCAGTCCTCATGGCGTGAAAGACTTGTTTGATTTACAAGAAGAGCCAGAAAGTACTTCGGCGGATGTAAGAGTACAAGAACTGTTCCACGTCTCCAGTACGACTGATCTCAATGTTTCCGGTGTGGAGTTGCTTGCTGAAGACGATATATTTCCGAAACCATTGCGTACTTACAGTAAGAGTTTATCACCTCGAAAGAATATTAAAGAAGATTCACTGAATATAAGCAGTTCTACAGAAAAAGATGCGATTTCTGCAACTACAACCCCAGATGCATCTATAAGAAAACGTAAAACAATTACCGATGAATCTGAAACGGAAGATGTAGATGTTACTGAAGTAAATAAGTCTGTTAAACGTGCAAAATCTTCAAGTTACAAAAACGAAGAAAATGAACCAACGTCATCGAATAGCGAAGGCGACGAGTCATTGAAAATCGAATTATCTTCTCATAATAAATCTGTGGATTCAGTCAAATCAGGACCATCTCGACTGAGTTATAAAAACGAAGAGACTGAACTAACGTCATCGATGAAGTCGGAAGATAGTAATGTTGATAATGATGTATCAGCTAAGATGTCGATAAAATCTTCCTCGAAAAAAGGAAAACCAAAAGACAAAACTTCTACACCAACCACACAGTCTAGTCCGGAGTTTGAAATTCCGATGACGCCGATTCACCAAGAAAAAACTCCAAGAAGAGGCAGACCCAAAAAGAAGGTCAAAGAGTTTTCTACGGTCGAAGAACCAAATGTGTGTACTGCCACAAAAAGTAGTTCAATTATAGAAGATCAGTCGAAAGAAATAAATGCGAGCGAGGTTGATTCAAAATTGACACAAAGTGAAGATGTTATTGAGGTTTGCGATGTTATTGAAATAGTCGATTCACCTAAACTGGTGAGAGCAACGCGAAGAGGGAGAAAAGCTGCTGAGGTTATTATACCTGTGAAATCAACGCGTAGAGGTAAAAAAGCCGTTGAAGCTGAGGGCGACGTCAATGATAAGGATGTGACTGTATCAGATACACCTGCGAAATCAGTTAGCAGAGGTAGAAAGGCTAAAGAACCTGAGGTTGATAAGGATGCTTCAGTTGTATCGTCGATTGATGAACCTGTGAAGAATACACGCAGGGGAAGGCCAAAGAAACAAGATTTGGAAGAAATTGATGCCAAAACATTGGAATCTTCCCAAGAAGCCGCCAGTCCGGTAAAGACAACTCGCAGAGGTAAAAAAGCAACGGAAGATAAAACTACTACATCATTAGAATCTGCCATCGAAGCCAATCCAGTAAAAACAACTCGCAGAGGTAAGAAAGTTGTTGAGGAGCAAACTGCTGAAGATGAAGCGAAACCTGTAGAAGCCAAACAAGTAGTGACAAATCGTAGAGGTAGGAAAGCAGTTGAAGTGATTGAATTGCTAGATGATGATGAAAGCGAATCATTGGAAACTTCTGCTGATACTAATAAGCAAGTGAGAACTACTCGCAGAGGTAAGAAGACTGTGGATGAGCAATCGGTGGAAGACGATGAAACTAAAACCATTGATCCCAAGCCAGTAAAAGCAACCCGTAGAGGCAGGAAAGCGGTTGAAGATGTTAATGCTAAACCAGAAAAAATAACTCGCAGAGGTAAGAAAGTTGATGAAGTGGTGGAATTGATCGAAGATGATGAAACTGATTCATTGGATACCAGTAAGGAAGTGAAGACTACTCGCAGAGGTAAAAAGACAGTCGAAGAGCAATCGACGGAAGAAGCTGAAACGAAAGGTAATGATGTTAAATCAGTGAAAACCACTCGTCGTGGTAAGAAAGCAGTTGAAGATGTGGCCGAAGATGATGACACGAATTCAGTAGATCTGAAACCACCTACCCGGAGAGGTAGAAAAGCGGCTGAAGCGAAACCTGTAGAAAAGGTCGCAAGAGGTCGCCGAAAGCAAGCAACCGAGAATACTGATCTCGAGGAAACTGAAGATTTTGAAAAGGAAGATGAAAAGCCTAAGAGGGCACTTCGCGGCAGTAGGAAGGCTAAAACCGACGACCAGGAGGATGAAGCTGAAAAACCGAAACGCGCTGTTGGTAAGAAGGCGGTTCATTTTAAAGATAATAAAAATTATGAAGAAAGCGATGATGAAGAAGAAGAACTGTTAATCAGTACAACAAAGGGAAAGAAGAGAACAGCTAAAGAAGTTATCGAGTCTCAACCCGCTAAGAAACCCGCTAGAGGCAAAGGACGTAAGAAAGCTGAAGAAGTTGAGGAGGAAGAAGTGGAAGTAGAGTCTGTGAAAGCAAGTAGCGACGATGAAGAACAGGTTACCAGTACAAAAGGAAGAAAGAGAACGGCTAAAGTTGTTGCGGATCCTCAACCAGCTAAGAAGCCGAAGGGCAGGGGACGTAAGAAGCTAGAAGTTGATGATGAGGAAGAGGAAGTCGAGCCTGTTAAAGCGAAACGCGGAAAGAAAATCGAAGAAGTGGAGGAGGTGCCCGTTGCGACAAAGAAGGCAACAAGAAAACGTATTTTCTCATCGGAAGATCTGAACGTATTATCCGAAGCAGCGGAAACAAAAGGCAAGAAAACTGAGGAAACGGAAACGGTACGAAAATCTGCGAGAACACGGAAATAGGATTTTTAGTTTATATACATATTTCTTTTATTGTTATTTATTTTGTTTGTATATTTTTAAGTTTTTTTTAGGGTTTATATATATATGATATAAAATATATAATTCATATATATATATTATATATGAATACAAATAATAATTTATATAAATGAATTTTTTTATGTTCTTTTTTTTTTAATTTAGACAGAAAAATAAACTTGTTTTACGTATGAAATTTATTAACATCTTTTTTGGAAAACGCAGTTTTACATTCCTTACAAATCTGATCCTTCGTAGAGCTTAAGAGACATCGCCTACAAAACAAATGTTTACATGGTAAACTATACAAGTTCGTGGCTACTTTGCATAAGGCACATTCGTTTTTAATTTCTGGCACGATCTTCTCGATTTCCGTGAAGCGAATAAAGTTCTCGCTGTTCGTCGCTTTGGCAATTGCTTCTTCTAAACTCAACGAAGGTCCATCATCATTGCTGATGTAGTTGCTGCTGCTGCATTGGATAGCATCAATGATAGTCCTCTTAATTGGCACCACACTCTTCATCTCAATCTTACGCTTCACTCCAACAGTCCTGCCCACAGAGAACGTCTCCTTTCTGTGAGAATTCTGCAATAAATACATATCAATTCTTGTCTTCAGACCAACATTTAACACAGGTTTCCTCGCATCGGTGAACGGCAAACCCGTGAATGGATCGCTGCCCTGTCTCCCATAATTTGCCTCATTTCCAACGCACTTCTCCAAACTACTTTTATCTACTGTATGTCCACTTGGCAGAGTCATAGGGATAGCCATAATCTCGAAAGTCAGGGCATCCTTGAAATCGTCAGGAAAATCGAATTTCACCACTTTATCACCATTACCATCATCTTGTGGCTCAGCCTCATCACACTCATTTATAATCCCGTTTTTATTTATTAAATGCTTCACTGTTTTCACTGTAGTAAGAGCACATGATTTTGATATTTGTCCCCAGATCTCAACACTTCCCAAACACGGCACAGACCACTCTGTTCTCAATATCCTCACTTGAATCTCTTTAGCATTGATGAAAGATCTGAAGGCATGGCTCTTCAGATACCCCAGTTGAAAGTTTCTTGGGTTTGATGGTGGATTGTGCTTGGAGTAGAACCGTGAGTTGCAGAATATTACACCCTCCTCAATGTAATTCATCTGGGCAATCGATGTGAATTCATTGTGGTTTGGGCATTTAGCTAATAGTTCTATGGAGGTGCACTTCTGGGTACCAACCTTTGCATTGATGGAAATGTATCGTAAACTGATTGGACATATCAGGGCGAAATTGATGTTTACAGGGGGTGTGATTGAAGTGAACGCGACGAAGCCTCTCGCTTTGGTTACATGATTGGGGCTGATCAGATTATCAGCTTCGTAACCCTCTACAGCTGCTGCTGTTGTTGATACAGTAGGAAGCAGTTTAGGATCAAGAAAATTATACATTTTATTTATTTGTGCAGAGGCATACTTCTGCGCTTTATTTATTAAATATAACTTCTATTCAAGTAACATACTTTTCTGTTTTGGAACAAGAATTGAATGTAAGAGGTTATGTATTTTATTTATGTAGTTCGTTTGCATCCAATTTACATTTTAAAATTTAGAATTTTAAATTTTGGAAACTAAAGAAAATATAATATCATCGAATAGCAAAGAAATCCAATATTCATGATGATGTTATTATCAAAAATATACATGGACATTTTAATCTAACGAAAGATTAGTTCAGTTTTTACTGTCCTTTAGAACTAATTGTCCCAATGTTTGAAATGTACCGTATTTATAATGGGTCCATACATCCATATCACAAGCCCGACAACCGAAAGATCGTCTATTGAAATCCCGACTATATCAAAATCTCGACAACCATAACATTTCTAAATTATTTCGGAGCGTAGTCACCTTGTGCTACACTTTTATTATTAATAACAAAAAAATATTATTAATTTATTTGATTTTGTTGAATTATTCATAATAAACCTTAACATTATGAAATAATCTCAAATACAATTAGATTATTAATTTAAAAACTTTATTGTAGACATTTTTGATTTAATCGGGATTATGATACAGTCAGGATTATTGTTGTCGGGATTTTAATATAATCGGGATTTTGATATAGTCGGGATTATGGTTGTCGGGATTATCCCGTCGTTCGAAATTCCGACTGTATTAAAGTCACGACACTTGAAATACCGACTATCATAATCCTGACAATCAAAATCCCGACTTTATCGAAATCCCGACTACCATAAAAATGTTATTGTAGAAATTTATAATAATAAAAGACACTGCCGGGATTTCGATATAGTTGGGATTTTGACATAGTCGGGATTATGATTGTCGGGATTTTGACATAGTCGGGATTTCGATAGACGGGCTTGCGATTGCCACCGATTTATAATTATTATAGTTTTTAAAATGAAGTGTAGATTATAGAAGAAAAGTACCAAAATTAAATCAGACTTGTAAACATATCTTTTTAGATTTGTTTTGTCTAAATTCGATATATTTCTATAAAAGAATAATTCATGGATTTCCATCTACAAGACATCAATTTCTAGTTCCAATAGATTTTATTGGAATTTGGTTAAAAAATCAATGAAACATTTAGAAATAAACAAGTGACTGCAAATTGCATGGCAGGACAGGATAAACAGAAAGGAAAGAAACGAAACGATTAAGCGTAACAACACAGGACTAGGAATTTTATTTGTAATTGCAAATCCAAGAAGAAAATTAATTTCACCAGAGAAACGTCCATATTCATATTTTACAACAACAAAAAAAAATAAATCAAAATCATAAACGAAATCAATCAAAATAAAAAGAGTTTTAAAACAAATGAAGATAATGCGGACAACGTATCATTTTTTTTACAATATATATATTTTTACGTACCAATTTCTTGTTTTGTTTTTGCATGCGTGCGATTTTCTGAACATATTTTCTTACCTCAGAAACATCTATAAAAATACACGGAAAATCATCTCGTCTCGTTTTCTTTACAATATTTTTTTGTTTTTGTTATTGAAATTTGTTTGTTATAAAAAAGAAACGCCAAAGAGAGACAGATTTCCTTCATTTAGTTTTAGTCATCATCATTATTATTATATATTGAAAAATAACAAATCCCTCAAAGGATCGTTTACACATTATATAACACGTCTTATATAGTTTTCACAATATTTTTTTTTTGTTTGTTTGTATGTTCCTTTTTCTTTCATATATATATTATTTTTTATATAAGTGCTATACGTAATAAAATATTGGCAAATCACACATCGATCAAGCACATGTAGTTGCTTCCATAATAAATTATATAAATATTACATATGTATTACCATTATATATATATATCAATGTTATTTCAGCGTACAAATACAAAATTTATATATAATTTATTTTTTTGCTTCTTTCTTTATATATATATATTTTTATATATGTATATAACGTTTACACAATAATGTACATGAGGCAATGATTTTTTGTTTTGAAATTCTGATTCTTCTGTTGCTGGGGGTTTGGTTGTTCAGGTTATTTTTTTAAATTTATTTTCTTGAAATCTTCAACAAACAGTTTTTCGAATCGCAACCATCGCTTTTCCATCATCAAAAAAACGTCAACTCATTTCAAATCTGCGATAAAACCACTTTCCAATTAAAATTTAAAAGAACAAAAAAAAAAACTGTAAGAAATTTCGAATA